TGAAGGACTCCGGGCGGCTTACAATAAAAAGGGGATAAATAAGACAATACAACAGTTTAAAATACAACAACATTCATAGTTAAAGTGGGGCTGGATACTTCAACAGCCCCCAGCCTGCCGGAACAGCCAGGACTTAGTAGCTTTGAGGAAGGCCGGGAGGGTAGTAAGGGTCCGGATTTCCACGGGCAGCTCGTTCCAGAGGGCCGGAGCTGCAACAGAGAAGGCTCTTCCCCGGGGGGGTCGCCAGCCGCCATTGGCTGGCAGATGGAATCCGGAGGAGGCCAAGTCTGTGCGATCGAATCTGGTGCTTTCCAGATGAGTCACAACTGTAGTCACCTAAATTAACAGAATAGCAGACTTGGAAGAGACCCTGGAGGTCTTCTAGTCCAACCCCCTGCTCAAGTAAGGACTCCTGTGCCGTGCCGGATAAGTGGCTGGCTCTTTCCAGAATGTCTACCACTTTTTTTAATAATACGGTGACCAAAACAGCATTCTGTTCTATCATCATCATCATCTGCGTTTCACACCTGGGCAAGCCGGCGACGTAAGACCAGCTGTCCTTCTCGGGGCTGTAGGTCTCAACCGAGGACAGTGCTCCGTGTTCATTCCTGCCGCCCACAGCCACCAGCATGTCCCTGATGGCGCCGAGATAAAAGTCCACTCGCTGTTGCCTCATCGAGGCGAGCTGAGAATGGGAGAGAAAAGCAAAAAAAAAATATGTGCCAAGGGTCATCATCAGTCACAGAAACCCACAATTAAAAACAAGCGCGTAAAAAAATGCAAGTAGAAAAATAGGAACCGCCTTTGGTGGGAAGGGAACAGCGTCCCTCCGTGCGCCTTCGGCGTTGAGTCATGCCGGCCACATGACCACGGAGACGTCTTCGGACAGCGCTGGCTCTTCAGCTTTGAAACGGAGATGAGAACCGCCCCTTAGAGTCGGGAACGACTAGCACATATGTGCGAGGGGAACCTTTACCTTTATAAACATTCATTTTAACATTTGTAAAAAATAATAGTAATTTGCAACTGAAAGATTCTTCTGGATGTATCACAGCAGATCATTTGGGAGAGATAAACAGAAAGATGGATACCAACACCTTGAAGTCAAGAGGGGAACCTTTACCTATACACACACCGTACATCTATACATGCATACACACACACACACATTATTTGCTTGGGTCCTGATAGGTTGTTGCAGCCAGATATTTGTGCTTCGTTTTTGCTTCTTAAAGGAGATCGTTTTAGAAAGACCATTTCCCCAGACCCACAGAAATCATATGAACAGACAAACTGGGAACGCTGGGAAACCCGAGCCGTATTTTTAATCGCTCCTCTTTGAAAGCATCAAAGCCTCTCCTGGTTTTCCCAGGATTCCAAGCGTCGTAGCCCAGAGCTTGCTGGGAACCCAACCTCACAGTTAAACGGGAACCCCGGTTTTTATTAGTGGCGATGGCAGAAATCTTGTCCCCCTTTACAGAAAGTCTTCGACTTAACAACCATTTGTTTAATGACCATTAAAAGTTCCAGCGGCACCTGGAAAAAAGTGACCTTTGACGACCGTTGCAGCATCCCCATAGTCACAGCATCAGGATTCCAAAACTTGATCACTGACTCATATTTATGACGGTCGCAGTGTCCTTGGGTCACGTGATCCCCTTCGGCGACTCTCCGACAAATGAAGTCAATGGGGAATTTTACCTAACAACCATGCTACTAGCTTAACAACTGGAGTGATTCACTTAGAAACCGTGGCAAGAAAGGCCGTCATTGGAGTGAAAACTCACTTAAGCCGTGGAAATTTTGAGCTCACTTGTGGTCGTAAGTCAAGGACTTTCTGCATCTCCAAACAAACGGAAAGAAAGAAAGAAATATCTACCAGAGCTTGAGCCTCACCTTTATCCACTGTTTACACCGAGGATCATACCTATAGAGAAGATTTGAGGCCGCATCCCCACCGTTGTCGCGGGAAAAGCTGCCGCCAGCCAGGAAGATAAAGCCTCCGAGAACCGCAACGCAGTGGTGGCTCCGCCTGGCGGGCAGCGGTGTCTCCTTCACCCACTGTCCCGTTTTGGGGTCCAGGAAGCAGGTATCGTCACTCAGCTCCAAGCAATGCTCGGACACTTCCCCTCCGACGAAGAGGAGCTTCTCTTCCTGGTTGCGGAGAACCGTCCTGTTGTTCTGCAGGACAGGCTGAGCGGCCAGCTGGTTGTGGTAGTTGACCGCCTCTTCGATAAAGTCCCCGCAGTGGGTTTCTTTGGGAAGGAGGGAGCAGACGGCCGGCTTGACCCGGTGCAGGAGGTCGCTCTTTGGGATCAGAGGGAAATGGATGTTCTCCAAGACTCGGTAGGCCTCCGTTTCGCGCTCGGGCTGCTGCATCAGCCACCGCAGAGCCGCCTGCAGCAAGTCGTGTTCACACTCCTCTTGCACGCCCGTGCTGCCCAGGTAGTGGCAGAGTTTCTCGACGGGAAGGTTTTGCAGGAAGTCAGGCGTGAGCGAGAGGGCGCCGAAGTTCTTCATGACGAACGCGTCGATGAAGGAGTCCAGGCGCTTGAGGTTGAAGATGGAAGCCAATTCCTGGAGGTACAAGTAGTTCTCTTCGTCCACCTCGTTTTCCAAATACTCGCAACAGAAATCTACCACGTTCCAGATTTGCAGCAGGTGAGCCGTTTCCAGGACGGAATCGATATTCCCGCTGTTGAGGAACAGGTCACCCCCGTAGAGGAAGTCCAGGATGGCTCTGAGGCCCAGGCAAGTGGCGCCGAAGAGCTCCACTTCTTTCTGATAAGCCTCCCGCATGCCAATGGTGAACATGGTGTGGAAGTAGTCACTGCAGACCGCTAGGATGTTCCGGTGAGCGGGGACTTTCTGCTCCTCCACCACTAGAACCACATCGCAGAAGAGGTTGCGACGTCTCTGTTCGTTCAGGCTGTGAAGGACGAGGCGGGCGTGGTCGGCACATTTGTACACCTGGAAGGAGGATAAATTGGATCAGGAAATACGTCCTACAAGTGAGGGGTGAGTCACGCTCATCGTTTCCACTGTGTGTCAGCCTTTGCTTTGCTGTTGCTTCGGCTGCCATGAAACGGGGAGGGAGGGCATGGTATTTGGGAGGGTTACTCATTGTGCTGGAGGAAGGTTCTGGGTTTCACCGGTTGATTGGACTACGCATGCGTGGGAGTTTCCCGCCAGGACTAATGGCACCGACATTCCATCTTTGTGATGCCTTTTGAAGTTATCTCGCACCTGACACTTGGGAGAATTATGATTGGACTGTAACTGTGATGCCAAGGGGTGGAGAATGGGCTATTCTATATATCCATCGCTTTCGCGCCTAAATATTCAGACTTCGCTTCGCTATGCCTTTAATCATTTATAATTAGTAAAAGTACACTTGATTTCCGCTCATGGAGTCTTGNTGAGAATTTAATTCTATCTTCCTTACAGACTACGTGTCCTTAGTATTCATCCATTGTGCAAAAATTTGGTAGATGCAACAGCCGGTGCTTCCTCAGTTACCTGGTTCCTCCTACCGTTACAACGGGATACTTGACACTCAAATCAAGATCAAAGTAGCATTAGATGGCAGATTCGTGAATGAATGTTTTTTGGGGGGAAGAAGTATAGAGAGTGCCAAGAGGTTTACATGGAAATTCTGTATTCATCTGTATTTAAGGTGTACTGTATTTTTAGGACTATAAGACGCACTCCTCACCACCCAAAAAGTGGGTGAAAATGTCTGTGCGCCTTATACAGTGAATATTGCATCAGCTGGAGGGGTTGCCATACTTCAGGGGAGGGGGAGGGAGAGTTGGTGCAGTGGGGGCAACAAGCTGCAGCGATCCCCGCTGCCTGGAAAAGCTGATTGGTGGTATTCTGGGAGACCGATTCAACTGCCAATTGACTGCAAAGGCTCCAGTGCTCCCATGCTGAGGCAGCAACACAGAGGTGGGATTCAGCCAGTTCGGCCGAACCGGTTGTTCACTTTGTGTGCAGATTGAAGAACCGGCTGATTCCACCACTGGCTGGCTTGGGAAAGCTCTATCTCTGCCTGCCCTGCACGAGTTCATCTAGCAGTTCACCAACTGCCTGCTGTCCCTCCACAAGTGCGCCCTTCCCAGCCTGTCTGGTAGACTGTGGCATCGGGTGAGCCCAGAGACAGAGACAGAGAGAGAGGTATGAATGGCTTCCAGTGCCGGAGAGGGCAGGCAAGGGATGTTGCTGGATTGCCACCGCCTTTCATTGTGGCGTGTGTAGCAAGACGGGGCTCCTCTTGCCCATTGTTGGGCATGGCATGACTTCCTTCCCCTCACTTATCCATCAATGCAATTTGGGGGCGGCAGGTGGGTGGGGTCGGGCGGGGAGGAAGGGTAACCAACCTCCGGGGCTTACTGGCTTCTTCCTGGCAGATCTTCTCTGCCTTTCAGTGTCGGCCATCAAAGATCAGTATCGGCCATCAAAGATGAGTCTTTTGTGGGCAGAAGAGTTGCGCTGCAATGGAGAAATGGACAAGGGAGGAGGCTACTTTCTCATCTTTCCCTACTCCTCATCTTTCCCTCATGCTGGCCTCTCTATTGCAGCACAGCATCGAGTCGGCGATCCCAGCTGCCTGGCTAATAGGAGACTTGCAGGAGACTTGCTGGATGCTTTTTCAGTACCTCTGGCAGCAATNCTTCCTTCCTTCCTTCCTTCCTTCCTTCCTTCCTTCCTTCCTTCCTTCCTGCCTTGTCACCAAAGATGCAATTGACAGGAAGGGGTTAACTCCACTTTTTGTTAGAAGACAAGGCTTAAAGCTGCTTCTTGTTCTGTGGAGGAAGTCTCTACTTAAGAAATGTTTCACCCAGCTCCAGCCCAAGGGCTAAGAACAGGGGTGGGGAGGGGGGACGTGATATAACGAAACAGCCCCAGCCCTCCCTAGCAGCCAGTTTCTGGATAAGCAGGAAATTGCATCAGGTAAACAATCAGGGAAGAAATAATACCATAACAAAAGAGCCTGAAAGAAAAAACCACACCCGGCCAACACTTTTGTGAGGCAAGCTACTATCTATAAATAACCAGCAACTTCCCTCTCTCATGTCCTGATGAGAGATACTTAGCATGCTCTGATGATGTTACCTAGCATGGTAACGAAATGTCGGCAGAAAAACAACCAACCTCAAAGAACCACACAGTATCAACAATGATTCCCAAACAACAAGAGCCCACTTGTTGCCACCTGCTTCTAATGTTGAACTGAAGTTGCTAATTCTGGTCTTTTCAGAAATAATTTAGGAATAGGAAGATAAACTGGTTGATAAACTGCTTGATTCACCCTTGCCAGGATGTTGCTTGCTGCTAAAGGTCAGTGTTAGCCCTGATATAACTATTCTTCCCAGAAATGGAAAAAAAAGTGTCTTAAAAGCAGCACAGAACATAACACAAAACACTAGCAATAACATTAGGGCTGAAGTATTTCAACCATGACCACTAAAATGTTGGTCATCTGGCCTTGTGAACAACTCTTAGATGTTCTGCTAGAATGCAAATCTCTAAAAATAATGTATTGGCAAACTTACCAGAAATGCTGAATTCATGGATTCACTTATGATTTGCTTACAATTTGTAGCCATATCTATGATTTCTGGAGTCTAATCGTTAGTGCTTCCCCCACTGATATTTGAATCATAATAGCAATAGCAATAGCAGTTAGACTTATATACT